CAGCACATCACCTGGTCCCCCTATATTCCCTACCGCACTCTTTATCCTTCTAGGGATCCAAGCTGAAAGTCTGGGCATCAACCCTGAACGTCCAGTCCCTCACCTTGATGCTCAGGTTTTTATTTCTGCCCCAGCTGAGTGGCGAGTTTCTGCATCTTCCTCTGTCCAGTGTGGTCACCCTGACTCTCGCCGCTGTGGTCTCCTATCCATCTGTCCAATTGCCCACTGTACACTTTTCCTAAAATAGCTCTGGTTGTGTCACTCTCATCACAGCACGTGTTTTGTGTTTTGTGTCCCTGCTGCTTGCAGCAGCTGCCTGCATAGTGCAGGTACCTGGGGAGGTGTCACAGCTCTCGGGCCCACCGCACACCCCTTTCTCTCCAGTTACACTCTGGGTGGCACCCAGCCTTAGTACTGTCAGGACTTGGCAGCTGATTGCAGGGTGCAGCCAGGCTTAAGAGCCATTGGTTGAGAGAATGTCACCATACCCAAAGGAAACGACAGGGAAGTAGAGAGATCTAAGTCAGTGGTTTTCAACTGGAGGTGATTGCACTTCCGGGACACATTTGGCCATGTGTTTAGTTGTGGGAACTGGGGTAGTGATAATTGGCATGGAATGAGGAGAGGCCAAGGACGGTGCGGAACACCCTACAATAGCCAGGCGGCCCTCACAGCCGAGAAGATCCAGCCCCAAACCACTCGTGCCAAGGTTGAGCTCACCTGATACAAGAGATGGGAGGGAGAGAGGCAGCAGTGCTGACCGTGGCTTGAGGCAAACACACGTGGTCCCCACCAGTGAGGAAGACGAGCTCGCCCCCTCATGGCACAGTGTGCCCATTTCTCAGCCCGGTAGGTGAAGCTTTTCTTGCTGTACCTGCATCCATCACATGACCCCGTGGCCCAAGGCCACCGAACTTCCTCTCTTTTTGGCAATGAGGTCTAGTGGAGGGGTTTTTCGCCAGGAGAGAGAGAGGCTCATCACACCTCAAGGTGGGTCCCGCCAAACTCAACAATCGCTGTTTTGGCAGCTGCTGAGGCTCCTAATGAGGACACTGCCAGTCATCAAATAAACAGCTGATTAGGGTGGGAAGCGTTGGTCTGAAAGAGACAAGGCATGTGCTTGGAGTTACTGATGTTGGCCAGCTTGGCCCAGTGGCCTCTTTAGGAACCACCGGCACTGTGAGAGAAATACTAAGGGCGACACCTTGTGCTCAAGGGCTTTACAGCCTGTACCTCATCCGCTTCCATTTGCCACTTCAGTTCGGAGCTGTGTGCAGCATCATTTCCCATGAAGGACAGTAAGGCAGGCGTGTAGGACGTATGGAGGGAGGAAGAACATCAAGAAAGAGTAATAAGAGTATGAAATCAAAAGGCATTTTTCAAAATTCCAAAATCCTACCTTGGATGAAAAAGCGTTTAATTGTCTGAATGGAGGACAAAAGCATTGCCAAATTGCTAATGCTGTGGGAAAGTCTGGTAATGAGAAGGGCCAAGTTCTAAGCAGTCATATTCTAAACTTTTGGCTCTCTTCTCTGTTTCTAGCTTCTGTGTTTTATAAGTTAGGCAATATTTTAAACAGCATGAAATTATTAACATTTTGGGTATTTCTATTTTATAAAAAGTATATTTGGGGCCTTAGATATATTACTTAAGAATTCTTAGCTGGGCGGGATAGTACATGCCTGTAATCCTAGCACCGGGAGGCTGAAACAGGAGGATTACAAGTTTGAGCCCAGCCTTATCTCAGTATAAAAAAGGGCTGGAAAGCAGCTCATTGCAAAGGCCCTGAGTTCATTCCCTGGTATTGAGAAAGAGAGATTCTTGCTCTGTTTAATTCTGTTTTCTCCAAGGAAAGAGAAGGCCCAGATATTTGCTGCTACCAGTAGAAGTAATGTGAAAATAGTTGTTCAACAAAAATTTGAAATGGTTTATTTCAAATTCATTCACGTAGGTGTGAGAGGTTTTTACACTTGACTATGAAGTGAGGTTCCTGGGTTCTGGCATCATTGCCCAGAGCATTTATTTCCTTTGAGGGACAGCAGGGAAGGATCATGCCAGAGCATTCTGCATGTTACATAAATGTTCTATGAAACATGAAAATTGCAACCGAATTAGTAGTTCGAAGAAATATGCAAACATCCCTTCTTGATGATTAATGACTCCTTACCAAGGAGTCATTTTGAAGCCAGAAGAAACTTAAAGAGCAATTCTAGAAAACTGGGCCAAGTAGGCATTGGATACAATCTCTGGTGGCTGTGTGACTGGGGCGAGGACACATATTAGATCCGTGTGTTGTTCAGTGAACTGTCCACTGGCTGAACAAATAGTCACGTAGCATAGAATGGTGCACACAGTAGGAGCTTAAAGAAGCCTCCTCTGCCTGAGTCATTGTCCCTGCAGTACCATAGAACTTGTAGTGGTGGGAGTGCCATGGTTTGAGAGAGTTCTCTGTGTCCCCTTAGCCTGGGGGTCACCTGGAGAGGACAGTGACAGTGCCCATGTATATGCTTCTCATAGACACTGGCACTTGGCAGCTGGCCTGCACACCTTTACTGCAGTCCTGCAGGGGCCTCCGGGTCTGTAAGGAGCCTTGTGAATCTGCTGATTGCCTCAGGCAGTCTCAGCAGGGTCACGTGGTTTGATCGCACACACCCACTCTGTGTCAGGATTCTTAGTCCTGCTTTCAGAAGCAGCTGTACTGTCCTGCAGCATAGGGCTCAGAAAAACATTTCTGGTTCTAGGAGACATTTCTCATATTATTCATTCTCTGTGTCCAGCTTTTGGAGTCAAAATTAGATGCATACCTAGAAGATATTAGAAACAAAGATTCAGTTTTCTTTCGTGTTGTTGACAGTTTTTCTGTGACTTTTTGCTCATTTAAGTGGTTTATCATAAACATCAGTGAGATTCTGAGGCTGCTTATGAATCGATACAATGGGAATAGCCTAGAATTGCCATGTGTCATTGCCGTAATGAAAATGGTGAAGTTGTGAAGAAGGTAAAAATGACAAATTGTTCAATTTCTTGTAGCTTTTCAGGGTGAGAGTAGATGAAGGTGGCAACCTGAAGATTTGCGACTATTTCATCCAGTTGTTTTGATTTTTTGTCACTATGATACAGATCTAAGACTTGTCCTTACACTAAGAATGTCTTCTATATTCTGCCTTCCCTCTTGTATCAGTATTCAAATAATATTTCTAGCCAGGTGCAGTATCTTGTGCCTGCCCCTGTGGAGGCTGAGGCAGGAGGATCACTTGAGCCCAGGAATTCAAGGCCAGCCTGGGCAACATAGTGAGACTCTGTAGACAGACAGACAGACAGACAGACAGACAAAGTTTTTAATCAATACCATAAAATTATTCTACTTTATCAGTAACAGAATTGAATGGCTTCATTAAACATTTTTTAAAAGCAATAGCGTAGCTATTCACAATTTTCTTTTGTGCTGAATTGGATTTCATTTGGGTTTTAATTTTCATATGAACTGCTAAGGGGAACAAGCACCCACCAGTACTTGCCACCTTCCTGTCTGAATGGACCTACGCACTCTTTGCAAAGCATGCTTAAAACTTTCCCATTAGGACACATTATGGGGTTTTCCCATGAAGGTCATTATATCACAAAGGACTCTTCCACCCCCCCCCCAAAGTCTCCAATTTTAGGCTGCCATACCTCTGGATCCCCTCACCACGAGACAATAAGATTGGCTGAGGCCATCATTTAAGGGAATAGTTGATTGTGGGCATGGTCTTCTAGGACAATGGGGAAAGGGAAAAATGAGATGTGAAACTAAAGAGAAATGTTGAAGCAGGCTCAGCTAGTTTTCTAAATCTTTTCTTGTTTAACAAGCCAGAGGTATTAAATGTAAGGTTTGGGGGATTATCTAAAACTGATGCATTAAAAGATCAGGCTGGCAGAAGCTTTCGATTCAAAATCTTACACTTTTTTTAAGGTGTTGGGCAGCAGATCCTCTGAGCCGGGGGAGCAGTTTTAGGAGAGGTGTTCTCCAGCTTGTTGTCGCCTCCAGGATGGATGTTAAGCACAGCCAACTTGCAGGCTCACTCAGGTCAGGGAGTCCCTCTCCCTGTGGCTATGCATTGTCATCGTCCTATTGCATGTGAGTTTCTATAATTTTTTTAAATAGGGAAAATGAAGGTAAATGGGCCAGCCAAATGCATTAAAAGCGGTGTAGAAATTAGCGGTGCTTGTGAACATATGGCTCATAATCGTGATCAAGGCTTATATGCTAGAGTGGCTTAAGGGCATTGGCCCAATAGTATCTGAGTATGCAGGGAGGCTTGCAAAATCGGCGATCACAGCCCTCACTGCGGTTACTGTAGCCTCTATGGTGAACACTTAAAATGCTCTTGCAAACACCCTTTTGATTTTGAGTGAGAGGTTTTAACGAATAAAACTCTATCTAGAAGGAATCACACTCAATTTAAAAAGATTTTGGTTTTCATTCAGAAACCACCAAAATGCCAGTTAGCTGTGCTGGTAACTTGCGATGCTTATTTTTAAGTAAGGAAGGGTGCCTTTTTATAAACGAGGCTTGAGCTCAAAGTTTCTCTTACTGTCACATGTATTACTTGCTGACAAAGGAGTGGATTCTACTACTGAATTGCTGCATTGCTGTTGTTAAATCCATCTTTGGGTTTTCTTCCCACATAAATACTGTTTATCTCTTGTCTTTAATATATATTTAAGCAAAATAAACCTGCCTATCTAGAGATTGTGTGAAAGAGTAGCATTTTCAACAGGGAGTAGACTAGAGACCACAGGCGCGTCCTTTGGCTATGTTTTACGAGTGTTCGGCGACAAAGTGAGGGAGTAAAACTCCGCTAGCCCGTAACGGGGTGGCGTGGGAAAGAGGACACATATTCTCCCGAGAGACGACATACATTGTGTCACGTGGTGGGAGGGGGCTCTTTTCTTTCTCCTCCACAGCCCTTCCTCTGATGTCACAAATCTCTTCTTTCTTGAGAGAATTAATTAGTATTCACTGGCTGCAGTTGGCAAGAAGAGAGGAGGGAGGGGAGAGAGAGAGATGTTAAGAAAGAGGAGATCCTCCCCCAGCTGCATTGAGAGTGGGGGTCCGGTCGGGTGCAGAATGGCTGTTTTATAACTGGGATCCTCGGTGACGTGTGGCTGCCGGCTCCCTGGCTGCTGTCTTTACGGACCAGTAGGCAGAGCGAAATTGACGCTGACAAGACTTTTGCGTCTTGGAAAGGACTGTAATCTACTGTAGCGAAGAACAGAGCCTCTCAATCAGGCGGGTGTAAATAAGAGACAGAGGGGAGCCCAAAGAAAAGGAAGAGGAGGAAAAAAAAGGGTGTGTGTGTGGGAGCGGGCAACAGCATTTTTGGTGGATGGTATGAAGCCAGCCATGGAAACTGCAGCCGAGGAAAATACTGAACAAAGCCAAGAGAGAAAAGGTACCCAGCGCTCTGACAATAGCCTGTTTAAAGCTTTTCACTGAGGGTGTTTGAAAAGGGTTAGCCGGGTTTTGTCCCTCTTTGAAAACGGCTCTGATACAATCCCTGTGGCATGAGCTGGTTTTCAGGGTGGTGGTTTCCTGTGAGCTGATGTTAAATTAACAGAGCAGCCCCTTGGCAACCCATTCCTGTTGCAAATCTTTCTACGGAACGTGATCTTTCGCAGGAGGATCTCCGTACTTTGTCACCTTGGGCGGCTGGGCTGGGGAAACTGTCTTTTTAGTAGTTTCCTTAATCATAATTGAGGTGCTATGCTCTGCATGTGATATTCCAGGGACATGGAATGCGTGTCCTCTGTTAATGCCGAGGGGGATGCATGCTAATTATGCTTTGGTTCCACTAATACAGTAGTGGTTTGGACCTTCTCTGATTTTCTTATTCTAATATGATTGCTCTTTCCATATATCAGGCCCTGACTATGACATGTAATAATCATTTATACTTGGAGCCTAGTGCTGATGGGATAGGGGGTCTTCTGCTAATCACAACGTAAAAGATTTGGGTAGGAAAATTGATAAAGATCTTGTTCCTTAAAGGTAATCTTAGACCATGTCACACTTTTGAAACATAGGGTAGCTTTTTCAAGAAACCTGTATTTTTACAGTAACAAAATGGTAGAAAATAGGGGGTAAAATTAATGTCTCTTTTCCTAAATCTCAACTGATGTCAAGTGTGATGCCCCATAGAATCAAGTCAGCCAGTGTTAGGTTAATGGCATCTCACTGTGTTATAATTGCTGTCCCTCACTTGAAGTTGTAGACTGTCATAAATGTGCAAAAATATGTTCTATAACCGCAGCGACTCTGATATCAAAAGCCATCATGCTAAGGTTATTTCTTGTGGCCCTCGAGCCCAATGACAGTCATTAAACTATAGTAATTTTCCAGGTTGAAGGCACAACTACACTTTCCTTGTGACTATGTAGGTTGAACCAGATGAAATTGCTGATAGTCAACCATTTTAAACTTACGGAAAACCGGCAACTCTATGTGGTTCGACTTAACAGCATGTTGGGGTAAAGGCTTCTTGTTTTTATATAGAATCTCTGTATATGTTGACATTTTACCCTAAACAGACCAATTTCATTTTTAAGTTTATTTTTAAAAGTATGATAAAACATGCATAACATTAATTTGCTATTTTAACCATTTTTTCATTTTAGAATTCAGTGGCATTAAGCATATAGCAATTTAATTTTAACTTGGCAGTTTAGTTCAATCCTTTGATCAAACCACCCTGTCTTTTCTTGTAGGTATCTTTTTTTCCTTTTTTTCAAATCTGTGTGAGTGACCAGGTGGCAGTATGAGAAGCTCTTAGGAATATTCATCAAGCTGAGGAAGTGAGATAAAAGTTTAAAGATTCATGTCCATGATCAGAGACTAAGTTGATTGCTTATTTGAAGGGTATAATAATGTAATAGCATTGTCCTTAAGAAGTCTGTTGCAGTTTATGGCAATTTCTTTTCCTAAAGTAGATAATTTTGTTTCCTAGATAGTTTTTATTTTTATTAATATAATGTTTGCCTTTGGCAAATAAAACCATTTTGATCTCTGCAGAAACATACCTTTTTTTTTTTTCCCTCTCTAAAGCAATCAAAGGATATATAACCAGTGTACAGCCCTTACTACACAATTGTGTATTTTATCATCATTTTGTTTCATGGACTGTTATTAATTTTATGTCAATTAAATATTATTTATTAACAGGTCTACAGGTTGCCACTACATTGCTGAAAACCTGTATATGAAAACTCACTAGCTGTGGTTTTAGGGACAAAATTAGAAGTGAAAAAAGAATTCCTGGAGAAACTTTTAAAATTACCAAAATTTGGGCCAGGGATTTAGTTCAGTGGTTCCGCTGTCTGCCCTGCAAGCACAAGGACCGGAGTTCGATCCCCGGTACCAAAAAAAAAAAAAAAATTACCAAAATTTATAAACACTAGGTATTTGTTAAATAATTCAGAAACACCAAGCGACCAAAAGATAGCATCACACATAGAATGGATACATGCTTGAATAAGAATATGGACCAGGAAATTTATTTTTACTGATGTATAGCCACAAGGCTTGCCATCATTTTGTGACCTACCAAAATGTTGGCCTTGAGGATGGCTTATCTGCTAATGTTCCTTTAGATGAACAAGTTCATAAGCCATCTTCCCAGAGTCTGGACTCACACAAGTGTCTCCACAGTTCCCCTAGTTTGCTTGCCTGTTTTATTAAGTTCCACATAAAACAATAGCCACAGCGGTTGTGTGTGCTCGTTCACGCCCATATTCCCTCTGATTTACTTTCCAGTTTACTGGATAAATGCTTATTTCATTGAAATTAATATTTACAGAGTTGCCATCGTTACTTACAGAATGCATTATATCATCTTAGAGTTGGTGGCTCTCCACCAGCTCTGTTCTTTTTTTAAGCCTGTCAGTAAGGGTCTTTATTTCCTAAATTTAATCCTATAAATTTGTCATTCACATGGGGTTTTTTTATGCACATAGATTTTTCTCCTCTGTTCCTCCTTTCTCACTTGTTTTCAATTGTTGGTGACAGGGACAGTGCCTGTCCCTTAATTTGGGATACAGTCATCCATCAGATAGCTTGTGAATTAATAGCTTTGGATAATTATTACAGTGTCTATTAAGAATATAAATGAAGCTTAGATTTATAAATTGGCCTCAGATTTTCTAGTCTGTGTTCTTTTCCTGGGAGGGAGTTCCTGCAGAACAACACATCCCAGCTACTGTGATTCACTAACTCCTACCAAGAGAGCTGTTTCTTTAAAAACTAAATTAGAATAGCTTTGCTCCTTTTTGAACAAAAATAATCCAAGTCTTTATAAAGGAAAAGCATTTGTATTTTAGAAATTGCCTCATTGCTTTTTTCACAGAATACTACTGGGTGACCAAAATTCACAAGAAGTGTTAAGTAAAAATTCAGGGATTTTAAAAGGAAAGCAAGCAGGCTTTCTCAGATGAATGTATAAAATGCTCAATTATTTCAAATGACAGTTTTTAAATTGAGAGCATTAAATTAAAGTGTGAGGATTGGGTAAGCAGCTTCACTGAAAATGGAGTAAGTGGAGAAATGAGTAAGACAGCATCAAGGGAAATAGATCATGGGGTTCAATAATAAAAAGATGGAGAGCTAGGCTTCCATTTATTTCAGTGGAATATTACTTGATGTCAATTCATTTGTGAAAACAGATGCATCTAGAATTGTTAGGAGCATGTAATTACTAGGGAGAAAAACAATTTAATCCCAGCAACTCTTCATATTCTATTATGTAAAAAATTTTTTGAGTATCTCTGATGAAAATTATTTTTATTATGTGTAGGAAATTGGATTCTACTGAAATAATTATAGTCAGGCTAGTTTAGTTCCTATGAATCACGGCTGAAATAAATTCCAGAATCCAGGCATCAAATTAAGTTCCTAACCACATAGGAAGAAAAATATAGTCGATTGGAAATAATGTTTAATTTAAAATAAATTACAGGATATAGTCAGAGCAAGAAATGAATTCAAATTATTGACTTTTTAAAAATATTAGCAGCTCCATTTTAATGTTTTGATCAAGTATATATAATTTCTTACATATTTAATTTTAACAGTGTGGCTTCAGATGGCTTTTTTTTCACTCAGGAAGAGAGGCACTTCTCCACGTTCTGAGCTTGTATGCTATAACCCAAAGGGGTGCAGTTGACATTTCGGAATGGTCTATGAGTTAGTTAATTTTTATTGACATTTTCTAACTTGTTTATATGAATATGGTCCAGAGAAAGTTTTAGATTATTCTCCGTAAGAATTTTCCAGGGTGGACATCTGAAGAGGTGGTGTCTGGGGACTAGGCTGTAGAGAAAAGTGGCCGGCCAGATGGCGCAGGACACATGCGGTGGGTTTGATATGACATCCTTTGGGGACATTTAAAAGAAAAATTAAATGTGGAGAAAGATCTAAAAGAGCCATTTGGTGATCTGCTACTTTTATATCATCGATTCCATGAGCATGCTTTTCAAGACTTGGCCTTGCCAATCCTTTAGAAAAAGAGTTCTGGACTATTTCTGGAAATTTAAATTTGTATTCCTTGGAATTGAGTGTAAATCTGAATTCAGATTGCAAGTTTTAAGATCCCATTTCTCTGTTACTTGGAAGTACAGGTCAAGTTGGAGTAAATGATCCTAATAAAATAATTTGTTAGTCTTGCTATACCTGAGAGGATGCAAAAGAGCTGGTGTCCTTATGATGTCAACTTCCCCTCACCAGGACTAGTGATGAATTGGATTGTTCCAAAGACACTCCCTTGCTTTCTTCTCCTTTGGACCTGATGCACATACACGTGAGATGATTGGCCAGGAACAGGGGTGGCTACAGGATGGAGGAAGAGCCAGATGCATGTTGGCTTTGAGAGAGGGAAGCTCCGATCCCAGCTTTGCAAATGTGCTTTGTTGTTTATCATTTATTTATTTATGCATCTAATAATGCTCTCCTTTGAGACGTCATCCTTCCCTGTCCTCTCAGCTTATGTTCTAGGAGTGACAGGGAGCTAACCTATCTTAGGCACCACTAGGAATATAATTGTGAGTTTAACCATAATTTTTCTGGTTGGTGGCAAATTGAATAGCAGACAGCAGTGCCACAGAGGAGAATCTTGATCCCTAGCCAGCCCAGTGATATTTCTTTTCAGACCATGTAATAAGAGAAAATGAAATAATGTGCCATTTTACAGGATGATTGTATTAAATACATTAACTGCTTAATATAGTCAAGCCTTACTGTGCTAGATCCAATGCTAGGGGTTCACATTCTTTTTCCATAAAGAGCCGGATAGAAAATATTTTGGGCTTTGCAGGTCCCAGGGCTCTGTCCCACCTGCTCAGATCTGCCATTGCAGCGTGAAAACAGCCATGGATAGTGTAGAAACAAATAGCTGGGACTGGGTTCCAGGCGAACTTTATTACAAAAATAGATGCCCACGGTTTGCCAGTCTTCACTAAATTCTGTTATGATGGCTTTCCTTTAATATTTTAACTGATAACTAAAAGTGAAGGATGACCACTAAATCCCTGAAAGACCTTGCCCAGCCAAGATGGTCCTTCAGGCAACTCATTGTGTGCCAGTTCCTTCCAGTGATAATTTCCTAGGTGCTAAGAATCATTCCAGTCTGCAGTTTGCCTGACCAGCCCTGTCGCTGATCACATTATCTAAGTAAATGGGGGGAAAGGGAACGGGTTATTGTTTTGCTTTCCTTTCCTCAGTTTCTCATTGTTTGTGACATGGCTGCCTTTGGCGATGACCACTCCATAAGCCACCAACACTCACTTCACCTCTGTCTTCTGATCTTGAAGTAGATCAGAAGCCACCTCCTCATTCATGTCAGATGCCTGGATTGAACACAACGTTTAATGAGCCACTGGAGCAGAGGCTTCCTCTTAAAATCAGATGACTCCTAGGTGTGGGGACCCTGTCCTTGGGAATAAAATGTATATTGTGATCTTTGAGATTTAATAAATAACCTTAGATTTTAAGGCTCAATTTCAGCTTTGCTCAAGAGTATAAAATAGAAGTGGTTTTCTTTTCTTTCATACTTAAAGATTTATTGCTGTCAAAAGGCCTCCCAGAAGAATTAGTCAAAGGAATTTGAAAACATCTATCCACTTGCCCAGTCCTATCTCTGCATCTGCTGGCTTGCCATATTTTTATGCTAGATTAAGCGTCTCAAGCATGGCTGCTGGGGGTTTTTTCCCCTCAGAAAACACATCAACATTGGGGGGGGGGTCCATGGCTTTTCATTGTTGTCACCCAGCAGCCAGTACCTGAGTGCCTGGATTCTGCAGATATTCCCTTCCAGGTGAAGAGATAAGGACAAGGTATGGAGGAGCCCTCTGAATCGCATGGCCTGGCTAGAGTGGAAGTCAGCAAGGTTAGGGGGCCACTTCTGAGCCACAGGGTGCCAAGATGCTCCTTCGCCTTCAACCAAATATTCATTCAGCAAACATTTATTGGGTACCAACTGCGTGCTGGGTATATAGAGACACAATTTGAAAAAAAGCAGATGCGGCTCAGTGCTAAAGTGCTTGCCTAGCATGCATAAGGCCCTGGGTTAGATTCCCAGCACAGAGAATGCTTCAGAGAATGTAGCACTTTTGTCCCCAAGAATCTCCTGAAGTAGTAAACGTCTAATCCAAGGAAGACTGAGAGTTTACGACTTTCACCCTGAATTCATATCAGTAGCTGAGGACTTGCGCCTTTCCTTTAGAAGATACACAAACCCAGCTCACCTCCATTTGGACCTCAGAAAAAACCCTCCTTGCGTTTAACTAAAGCCTATGCAAGAGTAGAAAACTTCAACCAGTGTTCAGGGCCCAAAAGATATGGTATTGTTGAAAGTGCGCCCTCTAGAGGCTGATTGCCCAGGTGCGCTCCAGGCTCCTCTGCCCTGTGGCTAACTACCGTGATCCTTTCTGTCTCATTGCTCTCCCTTCTTCATTTGTCAAGATGGAATAATGATTTCATAGGGTAATTGTGACAAATGAGGTAACAGGTACCATGTGCTTAACATGACTAGCATATCCTGATCCCTCCATCGATTACAGCTCTGGTCATCATTATTGACAGCAAAAGAAAAAAAGTTTAATTGTGCAGTTCTTGTCTTAGCCAAGTATCTTTCATTTTTCCTTTTTAACAAGGCATTTTTATTTTATCGTAGAACCAGAAGGATTTTCTCTAAAACACCACCTAGAAAAGGATGTCAGTTCTTCCCAAATGGAAACTTCTGGAGAGTTTTCAGAGTTGGTGGAGAATGGAGTTGGCTTTGGTCAGGCTCTGTGAGGTGTTCAGTGGGCCTGGTCAGGTGTCGGCTCACTGCCTTCTGATACGGTTATTTACTGGTCTTTATCTTCAATGATCTGCGGTGCCAAGTGGAACATTTGAACCCACTCTCCTGACAGACAACGACAGAGGCATTTTTTTTTGTTCCTAAATATTTGTGGTACCCCAAAGTATACAACCCCTTATTAGTTTTTATGGGATTTACCGGCAGAAAACTGGCCATAGTGACCTATTGGTTTCTCAGGGACTTCAAGATTGTAATTCATCTAACAGTTAGCAGAAACCTGCTCTGTGCCAGGCAAATTGGTAGGTATTTTTCTGTCCAAAGCTCTAAGTGGGAAATATGGTCATATCACCAGATAGAAACTTGATTTCCCAAGGGACCAGTTGTTGCTACTTTGGGTGAGTAAGCAGTGGTGTGGCCCTAGGCCAGCAGCCCTTTGTAACACGACAAGAGATCATTGAGACTGGATTTAATCCAGAACATTCTAGGTTCTGACAAACTGAGCTGAAGACGAGGTGACAGAGAATACCATAGATGTCACTAAGAGGACAGGCATTTATTTCATTCATAATTCAGCAGGCCACAGGATAATTTGCCAAATTTTTAGGATGGGAACTGGAGACCATTTTGGAGAGTAAGCCTGTGTTCACCTTTGCTTGTGCAGCTGGCGGTAATTATAGTGCTCTGTTGGTCTGAAAATGAAATCAACAAAGAAAACTACTGTGAGAAGCCTAAATTGAACTATAAATAGTATCTTCCCAAAGTGAGCATTTTAAGAGGTGGGTTGGGGGAAGAAGTGAAGAAACTGAGCAAAGAAAACACATTTTTGGTGCTTTGTGTATGCATAAATTCAAAAATGGAGGAAGAAACTCCAACATTCTTACATTTGTCATGCTAAGTTGATAAGTTGGTACTGAAGGGTTGCATTTCAATAGTGTATTTTTGAACTCCCCATTCCTTTAACTATATGGTAAAAGAATAACATAAAATGCTGATATAGAATCTTGCTGGAGATAGAGACACTGACTCTTTGCCACCTGAAATTGGCAGTGAACAGCAGAGCTGAAATGGAAATTGGCAGGTACCACTGGATGTACCCAGGCTCAAAGAACCACCAGTACCATCCTGTGCCAACCCTGGGGGACAGGGCTAGCCCCTTGAGCAGTCCAGGTAAATACAGCCGTGGGCAGAATTCTAATAGCAAGTCAACTGTTCTCTTTACTATGATTTGTAATGGCTCTTTCAGTTTGGTGATATTCATGTTTTGCTTGATGCATTTATTTGTTGATATGGGCGTGAGTGGAACTGGCCCTTTGAAAATTTTTTGATCATCTTTCATTTTCTCTCTCCCTTTCCATTCCACCCCATCATTCTCCACTTTCTTACCCGTTTCCTTCTTTCCTCGCCCTTACCTCTTCTTCTCCAAGGAAACAATATACAGTGAGATATGTCTTTGGGTGACCCAGGAAGTTTCTGATGTGTGAGCCAATCATGAGGGAGGAAACCACACCTGTCCAACCTGGGACCTAGAACTAGGCCAGGGCAGTCAAGGAGCCTTGGACCCGAGAGTCCTGAGCCTCCCCAGGGTCCGTCCAGCCCTCCCATTTGACACTACTTTCTTTTAACATCAGTTGTTGCCTTTGAGAAGGAAAAAAATCAAAGCCTATGAAATTTTCACAGTGTATTCAAATTCCACCAGGTAGGTCTGCAGAGCCCATTTTCCACTGTTCATGATGAACACTAGCCTCTCGGACCACTGGGTACTAGGTTGGAATGAAATGTGTGCAAGTCGATTTGGGGACCGAGGATGGGGAGAATGCTGAGCAGTATGTGCATTCACTCTCCCGTGTTCCCAAGTCCCCCACATGGGTTAGCATTCTGCAACACTGACACTCACTGATTTTGCCAACAACAAGCTGTAGTTCAGACTGCGTAAAACGTTGATATAACGGCTTGGTAGTGGGTCAGAGAAATACAGCAACAACCTTAAAGTATTGCTGATTTTGTGTCGACCCGTAATGTCACTTCTCCCGAATGGTTGCTTGCTTTTTGAGGAATAAATCAGAAATGATGACAAGTAGAACTGCAGAGAGAGCAATCCTGAGATATAGTCCAAGATGCCACTGAATGGCAGTCATAAAACTCATAATTAAAGCTCTTTCTGTCTCCTTTTAAGACCTAGATTGTGGCATCAGGTTAATTAACCTGAAATCTGGTTTGGAGTCAGTTCTATATCTTGGAATATGCATTCCTTCATTCGACACATGGCTGTACAGTGCTGGTTCCAAGAGTACCTGTCTAGTCCTGGTTAGAAAAGCTGAGAAAGGACTGACTGGCCATCCAGATCCTTTCTCAGAGATCCTTTAAAGGATGCAGAAGATTCTGGAATCTTGATTTACAAATTGCCATTAGATATGCTACATCCATACAATGGATTACTGTTCAGCATTAGAGGAATGAAGTACTGATATCTGGTGTGGGACATGGGTGGACTTCAGAAACGTGGTGCTAAGTAAAAGAAGCCAGATTTAAGAGAACCAATGCGTTATGACTCTGCTTATATGAAATTTCTAGAATTGGTGAATCTGTAAAGACAAAAAGTAGATTAGTGGTTGCCACAGGCTGGGGGAGTTCGGAATGGAGATTAACTACTGAAGGAGCATGACAGTTCTCTTTGGAGTGACGAAAATATTCTAAAACTAAATTGTGGTGATGGTTTTACAACTCTGTGAATCTACTCAAAACCATTGAACTGTATACTTTAGACAGGTAAATTTTATGGTACATAAATTATATCTCAAGCTATTTTGTAATAACAAAAAGCTCCCCCAAAAGCCATTGGCTGTGTGCAATTCAAGGTGGGGGTGGGAAAGGAATATTTGTCAGCATGATAAGAAAGCCCCCAAGTTATCAGAAACTAGAATGACGTGTGGTGGTTCATTTTCAGAGTATTTGATGAAACTAAGCCAGTTGGAAATCCAGAAGGAACCTGAGTCTTTCCTGTATTTTGTTTCTTAAATTGTGTGACAAAGAGTAAACACTAGGCTGGTGTGGTAGCCCAAGCCTATAATCCCAGCATGCTGGGAGGAAGTTCGTGAGTTTGAACCCAGCCAAGGTAACTTCGAAACTTAGTGAGAGCCTGTCTCAAAAAATGAGAAAGGGCTGGGAGAAGTAGCTAGTGCTGAGGGCCTGGGTTCCATCCCCAATACCACACAAACAAAAAAGAGTAAACACTGATATCATGGAGGGGGCAGGGGTGATCTGTCTCTGTCTGTTGTTCTTCAAGACTTTGTCCAAGTGTTGAGCAGCTCCCTGTATGAGCATTGGAGAAAGATTTCTAAACTTTTAACCAAACCTCAGAGTATTGGCATTCTGAGCACCAATACCAGCTGAGAACAAAAATGCAAGGCTCTAATTCATTTTCTGAAGTGAAGTTGGTTGAGAATGCTGAAGAGTTTGGGTTTTCCAAAGGCAGTGTGGTGCAAACACTGCAGGCGGCATGGTACTGCCAGCAAGGTGTGCGTGCTGCTCCCTGTGTGCAGCCCATTAGTCTCGGCAGAGCCCCGAGGCAGAGAAGTGCAAACTGTCATCAGTCCCTTGTCCATTCCACTTGGGTTTTGGCACCAAGGACATTCGAGTCATCATAGGTTTTGGTGCCAGCTAAATTAGGCAAAAAGTAAAAATTTTTAAAAATCCATGGTTTTGAGTTTTGTTTTTTTTTAACTTTGGAATGGCATGATGAGACCTTCTGAGACTCACGTAGTATCGGGTTGCTAGTGACATTACAAGTGAGACTTCCATGAACTAGGGAAGAAACAAAATCACTGACCTTGACTTAAATAATTATCTTCCTAGATCCTGAGATGGTCTCTACTCACATGTTGTTTTAATGTATGCATCAACTACAGTCAGTGGGAAAAAAAAGATGCTTTTGAGGCATAAAACGTTGGGAACATTTGCATTGGGAGCTAGCCATAGAGACCTTAATGCTTGATAGTAAAAAGATGATGGTGCAGGCCAGGGGTGAAACCTACCCCCGCCCTCTTAGTGGCTTCCCAGGCGCTGGGAGGTTTTGTTGGCTCCAAAATCAATGCAGTTGCCATTCTGTACTTAGATCCCAAATCAGATGGTGTGAGGGAGAAAATAGAGAATTCCATATGGCTCTTGTGTGCTGCTTTTTTTTTTTTAAGAGAGGGGGTAGAATTCTGTTTCTTTCCATGGGGGAATAAAGAGGTTTTGACACGGGCTGACCAGAAAGTCTTTGCCAGTAGAAGATGCCTGTCTCACTTGTGCAGTCACTATGGGCGACTCCGCCTTTCCCCACATTGCTTAGTCCCCCCTGGAAAGGTCAAGGTGGTTCCAGTCTCCTTTGCCTTGATATTTTTCATGTCTGTCTTTCTTTCTTTTTTTTCTGTAATTTCTCAATAGAATTACAGTTTTTAGGACTCTCTCACCATTGGTCCTTCCTTCCTTCCTTCCTTCCTTCCTTCCTTCCTCTCTCTCTCTCTCTCTCTCTCTCTCTCTCTGTCTCTCTTTCTTTCTTTCTGGGCAGGTCAAGTTCACAGAAGGAGATCAAAGGGACTCCCCAGGAGCAACCCCTTGGAAGCCTGCCTGGGGCCCAGGCCTGACAAGTGCTCTGCCGCCTGGGGCAAGCAGAGTAAAAAGTCAGGCTTGGACAGTGCTAGATCTGTAGATCTGCACTCCACTGTAAGAATTTAGATCCTCTGTTCCAAATGGAGGCTGTGGCCCAGTCGATTTAGCATCCCTTGAGGGCTTTTTAGAAATGCAGAGCCTCAGGCCTCCCTGAGCCATACTGAATCAGGACCTGCCTTGTAATAAGATTTCCATGTAGGCACGTGGAGGTTTGAGAAGCACTAACTCAGAGAAGGAAGTGAGACCACAGGAAGGAACTGAAGGTGTGAACTTGCCCTTAAGAGATCTAGAAATCTCCCTCTCTGGGAAAGAGAGAAGAATTAGTTAAGTATTGATTCTTTCTTCTTTCCCTCCCTCTTTCTGGAGAAGCACGAGTAAGAATCACTGTGGCAGTCCTGACCATGCTGAGTCCTTGTCGGATTGCAGGACAGTGACCTTGATTCCCTTATCAACTTGTTTGATGAAGGAGATGAGGAAAGAACACGGTAAGGACTCCTTTTTAGCAAACAAAGGACCAGAGGAGACTGTTGTTGATGGGAGCTTAGGAGGTTCTCAGATGTCTGTCATCTCCTGGTTAATGTATGTAATCCAGTGACATGCGAGATGCTATGACTTGATGTGGGCTACAAACTAACAGGCCAAGAATGACTGTCCCTATGCTGTAAGTTGAGAATTCAGCCTGATGGGGGAGGAAGGAATAACCACCTGCCTCACCCATTGCCCACTCCTCCCTTCCAAATCCCAGTTTCTGTGCTCCTTGGGTTGAGCTGGCTGCAGATTACTGCGGAGGTCCTGATGGAAGAGAGGGCCTTGTGGCATGGGGACAGTGGGCCTGGGGAGAGGCGAGCTGGGAGTGTTGGTGCTTCACAAGCAGCCCAGGTGTGATGATTCCTGAGCAGCCCTGGCAGGTTGGTGACTGAGAGGAAGGAGTGGCACCCTGAGGTCCCTGCTCTGACTTAGGTTTCGTTGTTTGAGGCTGTGTCTGCCCAGCTGTGACCTCAGGCAGGCTCCCTGGGAACTGTAGCCTTTATCCCCATTCCCTGGTGCTCCCCCCAACCTAGGATTTCCTCTTTTATGAGTCCTGTGAAATACTACTGGATTTTTGCCATTGTTCTTTAGGGTCACTTTTCCTAACCTGGCCAACCTTACAACCTTTTTCCAAAACACTTGCGATGTATTTCGAGAGGACAAGCACCTCTGTTTTCGCTACACTGTGGGGCCTCTGTGTGGTTGAGCATCCAGCAGAACTGTGGGCTGGTGCTGTTGTGTGGGTCCGATGGTGCTGTGTCCCTGTCCCCCAAGTCTGGGTGCAGAAGCTTTCTGAGCCAGGAAACTCCCCACCTATGGGATACTTCCTCTCACTTTTGGTTCAGTGGAGGGAAATGGTGAACACGTTGCAAGCTTACTGTAGCTCAGGTTCATGCTGTAAAGGCCCAGAGCTTTCAGAGTTCTTTGCATTTTGTCTTCTACTATGGAAATTATTTCATTGTCTAATCACTGGCAGTTTTCACAAAAAA